GTTATTTTTCATTGATTGAAAATGATCCGATTTCTTTATAAAAGGTTGTATTTGGTGCATTATCGACTCGTATCAATAAAAAAAGATCACCAAATGGAATTTTAAGTGCTGTACAACAAGCACAACAAAAAACAAAACAACAACCAAAAGGTAAAAAAATCAAAACTAAAAAAGAACTAACGATGAAAGTCCTTCAATTTGTGGGGCAGACCTTTTTGGTATCCGTTCCGATCACAGTCTAGAAAAAACTATTCCAGAGTTTATTCATATCACATCAAAAAAAATTTCTTTAGTCCTTATTTTTTGATTTAGTCGATGACTGGCACTTTTTCAGTCATCTCTTTTGAATTATGTTCTAATCGATGATTTATAAGATACTTTGCTTAAAACTAGAGAATATTGAACTATAATCTTTAGTTGCGGTTGGAACAACTTTTTTTCTCGTAGTCTCAGTCCCGTTCGGTCTCAGCAACTTCTCATTCTGGTGGTCCAGGTCTAGGCCTATACTCACATCCACACCCTTTTTCTTATGATCTCAGTGACCGAAACTGGAGCTACAGTTGGTCTCGCACATCTCTAGTTGAGATTATGTGCATTATGTGGATTTAAATGAGCTATGAATACTCTGAAAGGAGCTCGTGTCCTTAGCTTATTGCTGTGAAGATTCTGCACTTTTTAAATGAATGCTGTGATCCTTAAGAAAAAAAATTCATTTTCAAATTTCGATTTGTAATTTTGTATAGAAACAGGTCTTAACTAGAATAGATTATTGTGAAAGTTACAGATCTTGCCACTGTTACTATTCTAAGATAGAACTATGATAATAGTATGTCTTTTACGTCACTCGTATAAATGAGCAGATTTAATGTTCTTATTTTAGTATAGAAGTCAATCAAAAGGCCTGAAACTTTCACAATAAACTTCTCTTGTTTAAGTCTGTCTCTATGCGAAATTTCAAGTTGAAATTTAAAAACGAGTTTTTCTGAGAGGGATTATGAGATTGATTTAGGAAGTGTAGTAGCTCCGCAGCAATAAGCTACAGGCACAAACTTTTTTCAAGATATACATAGCTCATTTGGTTCTATATAATCTTAACTTAAAAGCAATTTATCAGTCAGAGTACTTTTCTCGTAAAATTCTTTTTATTTATAACAAAATTTATTTTATTTTATTTTATTTTTCAATAGCTGCTCGTGCTGGTGGAGCGAAGAAAGGTAAACAAACAACAAGTCGTAGTAAAGCAAAAGCAAAACAATGTAAGATTTAATTTTTAAAGAAATAAAAAAAAACAAATATTATGATAATTCATTTTGATTTTTAGCTGATGATAATGACGATGATGATTTAAAAGAAAATGATGGCGACGATGATGATTTAAAAGAAAATGTTGGGGACGATGATGATGATGATTAACTTATTTTTTTTTGTTTTTTCTTGTATTATATTAAATTGTATATTTTGATTTGGTTATTTACTTTTTCTTTTGATGTTATTCTTTCTCTTTCTTCTTCTCTTAATATCCATTATTAGAAGATTTTGTTATGCATAATACTTTCATTTATTTTGTGCTTCATTGTGAAAAAAAAATTATAAACGGTTTTGTTTCTGTCTGAATATTACAAATAAAAGATCTGTTAATGAAACAATTTTTTTTTTTGAAAAGCTTAATATTAATTGAAAATCATTGATATTTTTCTAACATCAAGAAAATATTTTATCTTGATAAGAAAAAAAGAAACGTTTAATCGTTGATCGCACTACAATTTTGTATGAAGATCTTGACAGAAAAACAAATGAAAGAATTTATTTTCTATGATCCTTGTCATCCAATGGAAAAGAAAGATCTAGTTATATATGGAAAGTAATCAAATATTCGTACACAAAAATAGAATATAAACAAGTTGTATCGTAGGGTTTGTATACAGTACGGCAATAAAACAAGTAACGCGTCGGCTCTTTGAGCCTCGCTCAGCTCAACTCAATCCTGAAAGCTTGGGACTATGGTGTAGAGCATTGAGTATTCTATAACTAAACATATATTTCTAAATGAATCTGAAATAAAACCAAGTAATTTATTTTGCGAACGGAATTGCCAATAAGTATTAGAGTAAATTTTCTTTACAATAACATAAAGTTTAAAATTCGTTTGTATTTAATATGTATTAATTATATGCTATTATTGGATACTCATGTTGGAAAGCATTTCAAAAAATTCTTTAGTTAAAAATGCTTGATGATACAAATATTTGTCACAAAACTTATCCAAGAAGAAAAACATTGATAAGACTTTCTCGAATAATCTAATTCATAGGTATCTAAATGTTGTACTCATACTTGTCTACAAAGAAACTACAGATTTTTTAAATTTCTTTTTCAATATTGAGTTGTATTAAACAAATGGTAGAAAAAAACAAATATTTACAATTATAAAGAAAACAATGACAAAAAAACCTGTTCGATTATACTTTATTCATTAAATCTTTGATTGTTTGTTATTCTTCCGACAGACCTGATGTTATCAATATTGGTAGAATGCCCACATCAACATGACTAAAATTATTTCATCATTTAAAGAATGAAACATCTTTTGGTTTTTTTCTTCTCACGTAAGATATGAAATTTATTTTCGATTGAATTGTTGGAAGAATTAAAATTTGTATCTAATTCAAAAAGAACAGCATACAAATTTAATGGAAAATTAGTTTTATCACAGTCCGTGAAAAGCTCGTGCGTCTAGAAGGAAAAGTAGTGTTCTCAATTACTGGAAATTCTATAAGTCAAAGATCTCCACTTTTTATAATATAATTTTTATTATAATACGGGCATATAATGAAAAACTTCGCCGTCTCATATATGGGACATCCGGCGCGAAAGGTTTAAATAAATCACGATTAATTCAATAAGGGTATGGGTGTTATTCTTTTATTTTCTAATGGAGTCGAAATGTACCTAAAACGTCTCCCGTACTTTTATGTATGAATAACATAAGTGTGGAATTAGTGGTTGTTTATCAAGACTCCATATAAAATAATTTTACCTAATTCAAAATACCTCATTCGATACAGTTTTTAATGACGATTCTGAATCTAAAGATGGTTTTTATTGTTAATGGTAAAATATAAGAGTAAATGGTTGAACATTAGAAAACCTATACTACACAAAATGTGAAAAAAAGCAACATTTTTTTGTCCTTCGTCCTATTTGCATAGTAAATGATTCTCCCATAGAAAGTTATTTATATAGGTCGATAGAGCAGAAGTTCCTCTATCGAACTATATATCAGGCTTGCTGCTGGAATTCCATTTTTGAATCAAATGCTACGCAAACATTTTCGTATGTTTTAGGTATTCAGTGGCAAGGAACAGCTATTAAGATTCCAGTAAAAATAATTGAAATTTAACCTGAAAAGTAGAAGATCTTGAAGAAATTTTTGATGTTCTATACGAATCTGAAGTTAAAATATTGATTAGAAAAAATATTTAGCTTCATATTCTCCAAAATAATGAAAACGATTACATTGGAAGTTGGAGAAAATAGTCAGAAATACGTATTTTCGTATTTTGCGAATTTATCTCTTATTATCCGGTCAATGATAGACTTTTCGGTGATCAAAATGATCAATGTAAAAAGTTCTATTGTATAATGCTATTTGAAGGCCAATCGAATATACTTCATGTAACGGTGGAAGGAACCCCACGGAATTATCCAAATATGTTATATGAGTCTTGACAGAGAAATCTTGTTTGCCAAATATGCTACTTTTAACTCTTATTTGGTGAATATTTCAGTCAAACGTCATGGCACCGAGCTGAAAATTTTACCATAGTCTCTCCACTATAGTCCCAATATGTTCTGAAAATTTCAGTCAATTTGGATGTACCTAGAGATTGAGATCAATTTTCGAGAGGTCTTAAAAGGTGTTAAAGCAGATGAAAAATATACGTTCAAAAGAAAATGTGTTCAATAATCCTATTTATTTGTTACTTAAGTGTGTTTCTTGATCTTGCACAATTCTATTTATTTATTGATTAGATTTCGTTGTACGTGTCAATTTTGACATGAGCAAATTGTTGTGGACAAAATGTTGCAATTAATTTTGGGGAAAATAATGACGCAGAATAAAAAAGATAGTGAGAAAATACTATAGTTTCATTAAAAAAAATTGAATTCTGAATTGAAAAAGGATTGATACATTTACAAAACTCACAAAGGTTCTCCACTATTATCTCACATCGAAGATACCACCGTCTGGTTCCAGTGGCTTGTCGACAGCAGCCGAACAGAAGATTCTAAGAGATGATCAGGTTTCAAAGCCAGGATACGATACTCGTATCATCGGTCGGCTGTGTTCTGTTCTGACTGATTCTTTCCAGAAGCAGAAAAAGCTGATCCTTGAATCGGAATGTCGCGTATTCATAGCTCGAATTGTCGACCATTTTTACAAGTTTGTCAACTGAAACCGGCACGTGCACCTTCACCTCGTTAAACTAGAAGATTCTTTTGTATGAAAACCTTACAGATTCTCTCAATGAAATGTAAGTTTTGAGTGAAATTTCGAAATGATTCGTATATCTCTTGGAAATCTTTCTTTTTCCAGCACATTCTAAGAAAAGTTTTAGCAAGATTTCTTTGAACGTAACTGTAGAAAAACATTTGTAGGCGTTGTAAATGAGTTAATCCTTTTCAGTTCTAGATTAATTTTGTTTTAAGAAATTACAGTATTTTTAAATTATTTTTCTTCACTTTTCGTCATTGCTTGCTGCAAAAGCAATTGATGATGCATAAATATATTGTACAATAAAATTTTGCAACATTTTTGTTCGCAATAGTTTGTCCGTGCAATGAATATTCAGCAACGAAAAGTTCAACCACCCGCTTATCGATCGTTAGAAAAATATAGTGTCTCGAAAGATATGAATTTCTACGAATAAATTTGAGTTAACTGAAATCTATGATAATGTTAAATTACTTCGTTGCACATTTATGACAGATAAACAAAAGATAGTGGCAAAAGGGTGAAGTGAAAAATAGGTAAGAATACCTACAAAGAGTCATTCACTTACGCCTTCATTGTACTATAGAATATTGAAGAGCACTGGATACTAGTTGATGTAGCTTTTACACCTGTATCAGACAGGATAGGTCATGAACAAAACTGTATTGGACAAAAGTATCTGTATATAATAACATATTTAACTAATATGAACTAAAAAAATAATAGTCTTTTAGCGACTTACGAGCATATTTATTACTTCGAAATAACTGTTTTCAAAAACAATATATTGATTGCTACAAAGCATTTACGTTACTTTATAAATTAAAAGTTTGATGGCATCAGTACTTTTCAATACTTTCAGAAGGAATAAAAATTACTTTTTACTTGTTAATAGCGACATTTTTTGCTTTGAAAATTTCACATACGAAATCAACACATTTTAATTATCATTGTGTTTTTATCTGATGAATAGTCAGCACCAGCTGAGACGGTTGAACTTATTTATTACTATAAGCTACAAATTATTTCTTTTGAATACTATAATCAACATCTAAACGGTTATTTTAATAATAATAATAATTATATTCGAAATATTTCTTAACTGTCATCACTATCAACCGATAAATAAATGATAATAGATACACAACTACTTTGGAAACATTTATCAATTCTTCTTTAGTCATCAAAAATGTTACATTTAAGCAGATTGTTTTTCTCATGGATATTTCATTAATTCAGTTTTTTTAAAATCAAGATATAGTATAATTGAACAGAATATAGAAGCTGTCGAATATGTATAAATATATTACTTGACTTTTGAGGCGTTATTGTTAAATGTAGACATATTATAGAGCAAGACAATAATCCCTTGATTATGATAAACATAAAGCTTGTACAAAAGTTATTTTCAACTATAGTAACTTTACGTAACTCTAATATGACTCTGATGTTTCTAGGCCAACTGTTTCTTCATATCAATGTCATGAATGAAAAGTACAAACGCTTGTGATCGATCATAATCAAAGTGATAGAGTTTTGCTTGCTCATCATCATCTCTATATATCATTTCAATATATATTATGCATATATGCGAAACATTGTTTGCCTATCAATAAATCATCTTTCATTCAAGTCAAAATATAACTTTTATCAATGATATCTACCATTGTAATCAAGTAAAATACAAACTTAAACAGAAATCAATCCAATCATTCTATAGAATGAAATAAAGAATTGAATTACCTACTAAATATATATATATATATATTATGAGAGTTTATCTTTATCTCATTATTTCATATATGCCTTGTATTAAATTTCTTTATAAGTATTTTGAAAAAAAAAAGCTTTACAAACATACGTATATTCCAGTACACATCTGACCTAGATAATAATTATTATTTAAAAAAAAGAAAAA